ATATATATATATACAGTATATATATATTTTTATTTATATATTTGGACAGCTTTATTGAATGAATACCAAGAGACAGATGCAAAAATAAGATTTTACAAATTGAGGACAGGGATATAATGAGCTTGCAACATGTAATCAGGTAAACATGGTGCCCAGGGACGTTTTACTCAAGTAAATGAAGGCACACGCACTTTACCTCTAGGCTAAGCATTTTATTGATCGATCCTGTGTTTCAATGGCGCATATTATCCGAAAGAATTTATAGAAAGGCGATATATAGATATATCCTGAGGAAAATACGTCATTGTATATTATGAAATTGTTATCGAATTGATGAGGGTAAACCTGTAGTATCTTATTATTGTACAAAATGTACAAATGTAAACTTAAAATAATCAATTCTCATAAATAAAACAAACTCCTCAAAGCACATCAAACTTGAAATAAATTGAATGGTTTTTACTTTTCCCAGTTGTGCTTCTGTAACAATAATGATTGTATCTTCAAAACATATTACTGTACAATGTACATAACACATTAAACGAAACAGATATCTCATATAAAAGCAAGAACGAACTGAACTAAATGGGGGAAAAAAACCAAAAAAGACAAGCACATAAGAGGGCGCTGTAGCAATCATTTATGCATGAAAATTATTATTAAATGTACAGTAATTAATCTCTTCAATTTGAGACGATCTAATCCCGGTTGTTTGAGCAATTATAAAAAGGTACTTGTATTTTATAATCGCCCTGTAAATTAATCGTTTGAACAGAGTATATCAGAGTACCAAACTAGCTCATGATTTGACACCGTCAGAGCAGCTTTCCAAAATCCCATAAGCCTGCTAGAAGTACATGTAGACCTGTTAACAAAGTTACCGATAGCTTATTGTGACGATAGCCTCATACACAGAAATTTAAATTAAAACACAAGGCCTACTGACATGTTTACCTAGTAATATAAACATATATTTTTAAAAAGTGGCAAAGACAAGCCAAAACGTGCTTCAGAAATAACAGCCAAACATGCTAGGATGTCAACATTTTTGAAATCTATTTTATTACACTAAACTAACCTTTATATATTTTATACATCATGCGCTGCATCTTGCTATATGTTGTTCTTTTCTCCATTTTCAATGTTAAAACAACAATTTTTAACGATTTGGTGATTGAGAAATGCCCGAAATCGTAAGGCTGATTTCTCAAATATTGTTTCTTTAAATGTACGTTTAAGCTCTTGTAACTTCATAATTAACGAAATGTAGGATTTAAATGATTCTTTTACCATTTTTATAACTCTCTTTTTATTGATTAACCCTGTATTAATAACTAAACATCGATTTTTTAAGTTAAGAGTGACTGGTTTGGCTTACTAGTAGTGAAAATTCGTTTATACTATACGGTAGGCCTACTACATTGGCAGACTTTCAATTTAAATACTATCAATTTTTAAATAACTTCATTACATTTCAGTTACTTTAAAGGACTGTGTCAAAATACTTAGATTATATAATAATATAGGCCTATTGAAGTGGCCATTGCTAGTGTTTCCTGAACTAAAAAGAAACGATTTTGTAGTCACGTACGTTCCATTACCTTTTTCTTTCTCAAGTAGGTATAATATTACATCTAACTTGGTCTAACGTTACCTCTGGGTTATTGAGTTCTAATTGTACAATCCCTTGGTCGTCTTTCCATTCCCTCCCCTCTCAAAATTAACGACCTGAGGGATATAATGCGATAGGGTGTGACTATGACGCCTCTAAAATATTTCGTTAATGTCTATGTCTCATGAACACAAATACATTTTTCCCCCGGACGAGTCCAACGAATGAATGTGCAACGCTGAAATATTTAAAAATGTTTCAACTGAGTAGTTTCGGAAATAATTGTATATGGAAATTGTATGTATCAAATATGCTTTTGGGTCTCATTAAGTGTTCTGATTAGAATGTTTAACGATGAAAGTGCACACCTCTTGGGATGACAGCTTTTGACATTTCTACAGGTTCGCAAATAAACACTATATGCAAATTTGGTATACCTGAAATGTTTAACCTATATACCAGGATCCGTATATTTTAGGTCGCAAAATATCCATACATCATTTTCAGACGCATATAAAAAATTCCAAAACATTCTTACAGAAAAATAATAAAAATTGTTTACTATTTGAAATTAGCAAATTATATACAGTATATATA